TTACATAGGTTGGTTTGGCCAAATGAGGGCCTCCCCTTTATATAGCCTTACATAGAATATTCTAGAGCTACTATGGTGGAGAGTGTTCTAGACACTTCCACCTATTACATCTAATAGACTATTCTAGAACTATATGGATGGAGGGGATTCTAGATCCTTCCCTCATCCTTACAAAGAGTCTATTGTAGAATATACAAGACTTATGTAGAAGCTACTAGAACTATGTACAAGATCTACTATTCTCTACAATACTCTAGGAAGTTCTGGAACCTTCCAGCTTCCTATATGATCTTCATAGCTTCTCAAGTCTTCCAAGAGCTTCCAAGCCACTTTACTAGCCTTTCCTCCTTGAGACTTCCCTTTTGTAGGTTATCCTGCCTTAGTGATTTGGTGGGGCGTGACACTAGGCCCTGCTCCCAGCCTAGGATGCCAAGTGATGGCCATGATAGTAGTAGCCCTAGCTAAGAAGGTGAGTGCATAGGGAATATAGAGGCAAACCAAGGGTCAAGCCATGTTGCTACCTAGTGGGAGTGACTGAGCGAGGCACACTGGTCAGCGATGCTCCTAATTGCCCCTCAGCATACCCTATGGGAATGAGAAGAGACATGGTTGAACAAGAGCTCGTCCGGGTGAGCCAGAGCCATGGCATTGCTGAGCGGGGCTATGGCCAAGCAACTGAGCTTGGCACAGCTGAGTAGTGTTGTGATCCATGCCTTGGGCTCTTCATACTTTGCCTTGTTCACTTGGTGCTTTGGCTCGCAACTAGGGTGCCAAGCACGCTAGTGGCCAAGCAGCCATACTTGGTGGTCTATATGTCCCCAGTTTGGCTGGACATATAAACCCATTTAGTCCACTAGGGAACATCACTGTGCCTTGGAAGGATTGCCATGTGGAGATGGTGATACCGAAGCAGCTGCAACATAGCGCCTGAGGGGCTTGCCACATGGCGAAGGTGTCCCAAAAATTATAAGACTTTGGCCAGTAGATATATCCAAGGCAAATTAAAACATAAAATCACCTTTTCCTCGTCATTATCAAGGCTCTCCTTAATGCAATCAACTTTTGAAGCAAGCCTCAACAGAGTGCATCCACCACCAACAACAATACCTTCTTCGACAGCTGCCTGAAAAGCAATCCCAACGTCACTGTTAGAACCTGTTGTTGTTTTACCAACAAAGCTGAGGAGGAACTACATATATGAATTGAAATCTATGATCTCATCAAGAACTTGCCTTTGTTGCATTAAGAGCATCTTCTACTCTCAATTTCTTCTCTTTCAGCTCTGTCTCAGTTTGTGCTCCAACCTTCAAAATTTAATTGGAAATCAGTACACATAACAAAATCAAAATTTATTTCAGAAACCACCAAACTGAATTAATCGAGATCATATGATTAAAACTGAAAGATTACCTGAATGACAGCAACACCTCCAGACAGTTTTGCTATTCTTTCATTAAGTTTTTCCTTTTCATAATCTTGCTCCGCAACCTGCTTAAAACAACCCCGCATAGTCAGCATTGAAAAATATGCATGTGTGTGTCACGCATGCAAAGGGAGAGAAAATCAAACCTCTATGAGATTTCTAATCTGGGCAACACGTTTATTCACTACTTCCTGAGTGCTCCCATCGCCAATTATTGTTGTCGAGTCCTTGGTGAGCACAACCTTAGCAGCATGACCCAGGACTTCTTTATCTGCTTGGTCTAAGGTAAGCCCAACCTCCTCTCTGATAACAGTCCCTGTTTATCGAGAAGAAAAATCTCTTAACATGAACAAGGAAGAAACAGACAAACCCAAGAACATTCCTATTTACAGTTATGAAGAGGAGAAATATTAGTGGATGCAGTGGAAAGAGGGGGAAATTGAGATTGAGTGAACATTCAAGTTATATATAGTATGGTGGAAAACTATGACCTCCAGTCAGAATCGCAATGTCATCAAGGTACTGGCTCTTTCTTTCTCCAAATCCAGGAGCTTTCAGAGCGGCAATCTTCAGTGCTCCTCTAAGCTTGTTCACAACAAGAGTTGCCAATGCTTCTTGCTCAATATCTTCCGCAACTATTACAATTGGGTACCCACCTCTGATAGCATCTTCCAGGACGTTAATAAGATCCCTTGCATTTGATATTTTCTTGTCAACCAGTAGCAACTGCATGAACACCAAAAGAATAATTAAACCGAAAAAACAAAAAATACATAGTTATTATCTAATAGAAATAAATGCCGTTCTTTACAACTACAAGAAATAAACCTAACATCCCTACCTTGCAGTTCTCATATTCAACTGTCATTTTCTCACTATCTGTGACAAAGTAAGGTGAGATATATCCGCGATCAAATTGCATCCCTTCGACAACATAAAGACTGTTCTCAGCACTTTTACCCTCTTCGAGAGTCACCACACCCTTCCGACCCACTTTACTCATGGCTTCAGCTATCATACTACCTACTTCATAGTTGTTCCCAGCACTAACGGCAGCCACATCTGCTAGTTCACTGTCTTCAACCTACAATTCATATTGCAGTCCGTAAGTCCTAGACTACTATAATAAATTGAGACCAAGACATCAAGCTTTTTAAATAAGCCTGTCCAAAAAATTTAGGACAATTTACAGAAGCATTTACAATTTTAATCTCAAGCCTTAATTATTAAACCCATTTGTGAAACCGCTTTCCATTACCTCTTTAGACATCAGCTTAAGCTCTTCAACCAAAGCTTTTGCTGTCTTCTCAATGCCTCTAGTAATCAGAACAGGGTTTGCACCAGCTGCTACCACCTGAAAAAGTAATACCACTTAGCAAGTTTGCAAACACCAGAATCACTGATTGCTGTGCTCTTTGGATTTCAAAGAAAGATATACAGCATGAATTTGCAAGCAGACCTTTACACCCTCAGTGATAAGACCTTGTGCAAGAACAACAGATGTTGTTGTCCCATCTCCAGCCAAGTCATTGGTCTTGGCAGCTGCTTGTCTAACCAATTTAGCACCAATGTTCTCTACTGGATCTTCCAACTCGACCTAGAAAGAAACGAAGTATTACAGTACATTAGGGCCTCCAATATAAAAAGTTTATTGGAAATTATTATTGAATTCATTTATAGAAAATCGGACAAATTTCAGGTTGAGCGACTTATTTGAGCCATTAGATAATTGCAAACTTCAGTGAGGACATTGAAGTACATAAAATCATGGCCATGAAGGTTTCCGCTGTTTGTTGGCTTCATAAAGTTGGAAAAACCTATTGCCCTCAACTCTCAGACAATTCTAGGCTTCTAAAATAAATTGTTTCCAAAAAGAGTTAAATGCTATCCAAGGAAAAGTGATCAAACTACTTAAAGCCATGGCATGGGCTATTTATACCAATAGAGAACTAATTACTTCCAATAATTGCGATAAAGTATACCTCTCTGGCCACAGTCACCCCATCATTAACAATTTTTGGGGAGCCATATTTACTCTCTAGAACAACATTCCGGCCCTTCGGACCAAGAGTAACCCCAACAAGATCCGCAAGCTTGTTGACACCACTCTGACACAAAAAGGATAAAATTATTGTTAGAGATGGCATGTGCATGAACCTTCAATACAATATAAACCTCAACTCATTAAGAGACTCACTTGCAGTTTCTTAATAGCCGACCCATCCTTGTTGAAATACAGATCCTTCGCCATGGCATTTATTCTGGGTGAAGGTGTTCTACGTAGAGCAACATTTTGTCTCCTACCAAACAAGCTTGAAGATATGGAAGTGAAAGATGATAACTTGTCCAAAGAAGTTGCAAATTTCTTATCTGTCACACGAGCACTAGGTGCAGCCAAGGAGCCAACCGAAGACATGCCAGCCAAAGTTGATGCCATTTATTCTTTAAAATCTGATAGAAAAAAAAATTCAACATTAATCCTTCCCTAGAGTTACTTATCAAAAAAATTAAATTAAATTAAATTAAAAAATATATATATTCCTTCGGTGGAGAAATCAATCTACAGCTGAAGAATCATTACCCAAAACAAATAATAAACGTCAATAATCATAATAGCAGCAATAAGAGAGAAAATGGAGTTAGGATTGGCTTGGCTTGGTTTGGTTTATTTTATTTTGAAAAAATGTTGGCTGCGTTTGGTGCAGCTTTGTAATCATAATTCTACCTCTCCGTTTGCATGCATTGTTTGGATGGAGTTTTGGAAATGTGATTCCACCACACATTTCAACACATAGTTCTCTTTTACATTTGGCTACTCTCTCTCTCTTTCGTCTTTTTCATTTTGAAAAACAGAGGATTTTTGAATTTTGGGTCTACGCGGTCATCCTCCCAAATATCCGGCCGGTCGACCGGAATAGTGTATTTTTTTAATTTTTTTTGCAATTGCCAATCGCTGCCTATTATTTGGAAGAAAAAAATATATATATTTGTTTTTGATATTTTTTAAATATAGAAATTATTTTTTTTTACCAAAATGACAAAAAAAAAATTGAATTGAATGGAATGGAATGGTCATTCTTATTTTCCTATGAAATAATAATTATTTTATAATAGAAAATGATATTTTTGTTTAGAATGGATCTCCATAATTTTTTACTTTACCAAATATGAGAATGAATATTTTGAAAAAATTATCATTTTATTCTAATAAACGAATGAAAACATTAGTAAAAGACCTAAAACACATTGTTTGGTTTTCAAATGGTAAAATTATTTTTTAGTTTTTGTTTTTCGTGATTTTAGTATTTAGTGTTTTTTTTAATTATTTTTTTTAATACACTTAGTCTAGACGTAGCTAAAAAGTATTTTTAAAAAAATGTGAAGAAATTTGAAAAAGGCATACTAAAAATAAAAATAAAAGAAAAGAAAAAAAGCACATTTTCATACTTTTTGTTTTTTAGTGAATTTTTTCGGTTTTCTCATAAATATTAAAATTTTAAGTACATTTATATTAAGTACATCAAAATAAATAAATAAAATTTTAAAGATTTATTTGCCGATCAAAAAAAAAAGTACATCAAAATAAATAAAATTTTAATCCAAATAGAAAAAAATTAAAAATAAATGAAGACATGGAAACTGATGTGAAGTTTTCTCAAACTTATTATTATTTGAAGGCATTTGTTATTCCCCAACTTTTAGAATTTTCAAATATTTTTTTTTCTTGTCATTTTCATCAACAAATTTAAAATCCAAACATAGAAATTAAAATTAAATCTTCAAAAATATGCCCTCCCTTCCTTAGTCACTGGGCATATTAATTCCATGTTGTTCATTCAAAAGGATAAGTCTCATAAAATTATGAAGTCATTAATAGGTGTCCATTAATGGCTGAAAGGGGTTTGAGGACAATAATGTAATGTTGAATCACCAAAAACTCCAAGCAACTCAAAGTTCTTCTTTGTTTTTAATCTTTCCTCAACACACTTACAAAACATATATATATTTTGGATCGATATCTGGTTGTGATGACTGACTAATTTGAGAGATCAATCCCACCATAGTGGACAGTGGGATTAAAGGAAGAAGATCCACTCTCTTGCTTATGTGTCATCTCTTTATTGACTGGTTATAAATCTAGTGTTTATATTGGTCAATCATAAATAATTTTAGTCTCTTGCTTAAATTGCTATCTTTATAGTTTGCATTTATTGAGAGAAAGTTATACTAATACGTCTTAAATTTGGAGATTTAAAAGGTTGAATTTGAATATTTTAAAGGGTTGGAATAAGTAGGAATTCCAATGACGTGTTAAAAATACCAAGCAAAATGGAATGGACAACTTGAGATTGACAAGTTGAGAGTTAGCAAAACTCCTACAACAATTCAAAGAGAATATCCAAAGCTTTCATGAAGAATGTGTGGCACCTTAAAAATCGAGAACATTACAAAATATATTAACATAAATACAAGATTTATCTAAGGTTACAAGAGAAGGAAACATCACTAATGAGTCATTTGGGTAATAACCAAGTAAGATCCTAGGAAATTCCGAGGAGTCAATATAGCCTGTAACGCCCCGAAATAAATACAACCTATCTACAACATTAATAAGTAACAAAATGATAAAGTAATTATCTTCCATTTGTTTTCAATTAAGTTTTTCAAAAGAGTAACATATGCTGATATACATTCACAAGCTTATCCTTGAATTTATAGCATATGTTACATAATAAAGAAATATAATGAAAGTTAAACAAATAAGAAATGCCCTCAAGACTTACAATTTTTCAAGACGGTACTTGGTTACAATAAAAGTGGATTTAAGTCCAATACAGTTAAAGGCCCGTGGCTTGAACAAAACATATACAATAATCAACAAAACAAAATGAAGCTCTTACTCTAAGTCGTCCCAAGCTATTGCCTTGGCGGAGGTATATCATTAGCACCTGGAATGTTTTTCCCACATAAGGTGAGCCAAAACCCAATAGAAATAATCCAACACAGTGTATGAATCTTAACAAAGATATAAGGTTAATGCATATGCAATGCTTGTGCCAAAATATTTTATATCTCTTTCCAAAACCATACAATGCCAGGTTAATATCAGAATTCAAAAATCATCTCCTTTACCATAGAAAACAGGGCAGTAAATCACACATTGGAAATCTCAAAACAATTCCAACCTTTCACGAAAATTTTGTCAACAGGAAACCGTAAATCAGCACTCATGTAAACGTAGGCTCTACAAGCACTACTATTGTCATTTCACGGAAAATTTTGTCCGTGAGATCGGCACCCATCACTACTACTACATAAAAAAAAAAGAGTTAAATTTCACACTTGGATAAATGAAAATATCTCATTTTTATTAAAAGTGTGATAAAAAAAAAAAAATTAGATTGATATTTTAGTTACACTTAATTTAATTATGTGTGATAATATTTATTTTTTATGTCACTTTTTAATAAAGTGTGATTATATATATATATTTTTAATTAAGTGTGATTATATTTATTTGTCTATATATATATATAGTATTCACAGTGGAAACAAAAACAAATCAAACCGTATCTCTCCCCGTCTCCCCCTCTCACCACTCACTTAGCAATCACTCACTTAGCAATAGCTAGGGTTTATTATCTTTCTCTCCCCTGTAGAAACCCTAGTGTTTAAACTCCCATCCCCAACAACAACAATCACCATCAGTGTTGGATCTGCCATCACCAATCCGCTGCTGTTGCCCGTAGTGTAGCACCTCCTTTTGTTGCAAAACCACCACCTCAGTGCCGGGGATGGCAAATCTTGAAGGACGACCAAACCCTAGAGAGCTACGGGTAATTCAATCGATTCTCACCATACTCGTTTTTTACATATGTGAATGTAGATATAGGTATTAGCATTGGAATTTGAGTTAATTTTGTTGGAATTAGCTGAATCTACGAGTCTGGGTGTTGCAATTTCTAGACTTATTTTCAGCTTGTATGAAAAGATTGTGGAGGGAATTAGAGTTTAGCACTTAAACAATCTCCTTTATTAAGAAAGAGATAATGATAGGACTTCTATAAAGGTACTTTAGTTGAACTTTATTTTTTGTGTGATTATTGTTGGGTCTTGCTTTTCCAGTTACTTCCACTGTTAATATTGGCTAAAGTTTTGTTTTTCCGTAATCATTTGATGGCCAAGAAGATAAATGAAAGAAAAGAAGAAATTGGAAATTTACAATGGTTTCTCAACAATTATAGAAGAATTCGTGTTTGGTGTGTTGTGTTTTTGTTTTTTTGAAGTTTACTTGTGTTGTAATCAACCAAGAAGCATGTGTGTGTTGTGCTGTTGGTTAAATGATTGAAGAGAAGAGTGAGAATTATACATTCGAGTAAGATAGTTTTTTTTAGTCTAGTTTAATATTCCCTTCTAGTTCATGAATTATGTTGCTCAATATTTTGAAGCGTTTAATTTTATTGGTATGGGATGAAGGTTTCATGAAGATATCGAAAAAGAGGTGTGGCCATATTTGTGTCAATTGTGGACTGATAAGACGTACCAGGTAATGTTACAGATAAATATCGGTCATATTTTGAAATTTAGTTTGATTAGATTATGTAGCTTATACAAATAGTAAGTAATCAAATGAATGAATCGTTATGGAGTTTAGAATATATCTCATCGTTGAAGGTAACTCTGACTTGATTTTTCTGGTTGGTGATTCTTTGTGGTTGGCAATTAGTTGATGCTTTGGGCATTGTGGGGATGGTTAGATAAAAAATTAGCGTATATTAATTTAGAGTAACGTACTATATTTGTATACCATAAAATGCCATTCCTTATGGAAAATTCATTTTCATTCCATTTTCCTCAGTTTTCTCAGCAAACATACAACAATTATGCACCAGTATATAACTCAATTTAAGATAGCTTCTAAAACTTGAATATCAAAGCCCAAATATGACATTAATCAAAAGTATTAATTTTTTATGAAGCATATAGTGATTATATTATACCTACATACCCCAGTTTTGCATAAACCCACAAAATGACTGCAAATAAACAGTATTCAAGAACATAAATTTAGAGGAACAGACTATATTTTTACAGTCTTTTGTTGGGTTTCTTTCATTGTTGTTGGTATAGCCTTTTGCTTTTGTGCTCTTACTAGTTCAATGGTTTGTTCTGGAAGTAATGGACTTACGCTTAGTTTTTCTTTAGTTCTGCTATACAATTTACCAGAAATATTGTACATAATGTTTATGTACAATGCAAATAGAAATTATGTGAGTTGAAGTGTATGCTTATATGTTCACAAGTTATAGTGCCCTCTCTTTGTATTTGTTGTTTATTCCCTGTCTGTTTCATCTAGTGCTAACTCAATTCTTTCAGTTTTGTTTATCTTTAATCTAATTCCTAGTTATTCTATAATCTAATTCCTTTAACATTTGGAATTTATTGTTATTAAGCTATGGCATCATCTGA